ATGCAAGCATACATTTGATCTACATTCACGAGTATACGCTAGGTGAACTTGTTTGATCAAGACTGTTGAGCAAATCAAAATGGTTTCCGTTTGATGCATTATCGTTATAGGCATCCATACTTGTAAAAACGAAGCAAAAACAGAGGAGTTGGAGAAGGAGATGGAATGGCGATAAGAGTGGTTAAACCCTAGGACAAAAATAAGGGTCTGATGATAAAGATTATTCTCCAAATTTTGATCTAACTAAGCCTAGTTGCATCTAATAGTGAGAATGGCGACGGATTGAAAGAACACAGCTTGCGGGGTAGGTGGAAGTGAGAGTAGTTTAGGGATTATTCGTGGGTTCGGGCTCTTCAATTAAAAAGTGGGTGGGGTATTTTACTGTGCAAGGACAATTTGAGATGACTTTTGTATAGTTTGAGGTGACTGAAATAATGGGATTAGCTTTACACATGTGCAAAGGTAAACCAGAGAAATATTGCCTTGCATCATGACTTTACTGTATGAGCTAAGGTGAAAGCACTTAGAGGATATAAATATCAAAAATGTCCAGTGGCTCGTTTGCATTTTTACTCAAATTTGGAGGAAATCAAATTTTACCTCCTCCAAGAAATGGCAAAAATGCCCCATTTTACTATTCACAGCACATTCTTTTGAAAGTTATCTATTATATATTGATTCTCTCCCATGATCTCAACCATACGTGCTCGACTGATTCACACATTTTAAATTTTAATTTTAAAAATCTTAAAAAATTTCAAGTAGCATAATTAGTATAATAGATTTTAAACATTCTAATTTTAATTTCCTATTAGAGTGAATATTATAAAATTTTAAATTTACATACTTTAGGTTTGAATGTGAAATTTTTGAAGGATAATAGAAAAAGTTAACCCCTAAACTATAGGGTCTAGGAGCATTTGGGTCGCCCAACTTATTTTTTATATAATATTTTTTTTTAATTTTTGAAAATAATTGACTAGAAAATAATAAATAAAGGACATCAAAAATTACAAAAATAATGAATAAAATTTTCTTAGTCATTTTTTGTAATTTTTTAGATTTTTTTCTGTAATTTCTGAGTTTGTTACAACAATAATTTTTTGTTCTTTTATTAATTTTTTGAAGTCATTTATGATCAACTAACCATCAAAATTAACTTTTATTAACGGTAAGTATAGATTGTACTGTTTTTAAAAGTTAAAAAAAAATATTGTACAAAAATTTAGTTTAGGCTCTAAGACAGTCATGAACACATAAGTTAGAGGTTAATTTATTCATTTACCCATTTTTTAATTGCGAATAACTTTTATATTCCATGATCTCTATTCCTAATATCATGACCCTTTTATTTTTGGATTTCAAAATTTGTGTTATATCATGTTTTAAAATTATTTTTGTTTGAATCAATTTTTTTAATTAATATAATAGATTTCTCATCCTAATAGCTACTCCTTAATTCTTACTAGTTTAAATATTTTAAATATAAAATTTAAATTTAAATGTAAAATTTTTGAATAAGGAATAACTTCCATATCTCATGATCTTCAATTATCTAATATCATATTCTTTTTATTTTATTTTCAAAATTTGTGATGTATTATATTTTACAATTGTTTATGTTTAAATTATTTAATTAATTAGTGTAACAGATTTTTTTTATCCTAATAACTACTCCTAATTTTTATGTCCATGTTTTTGCACATCCCTTTCATAAATACTGTTATAGACCTTGGTAGAAATTAGAAAAGGAAGATACACCATATAAAACTTTTTAAATTAAATACAAAAAAAAAGGAGGATACACCAAATTGATGTATTATTTTTAATAAAATTTAAAAATTGAATGAAGAAATTAATAAAATCAACTTTTCTTTAAAAATGGGATAATGGAGAGATTTTTAGGATATAGAACTTACATATAATTTTCACAATATAAGAGATTTTAAAAATTAAAAAAGTAAATTTTCTCATAAAATTCTTCGTCAGTTACAATGAGCCAACATGAATCATCCACACATTGTCTACAATAAATTTTTAAAATTAAATTTTTGAAATTTTATAATGATATAATTATTGGAAGTTACAATAATAAAAATAGGGAAAATTGGAAAGCGATTTAAAAAATAATGAGACGCTCGGCGTCTATAGAAATTAGAAGGACAGACTTGTTGTTTCGGCGTTTGTGTCAAAAGAAAAAAAAAAAAAAAAAGACGCACTTGCAATCGGTAGGAGACACACTTGTCATTTCTAGATATAAGTTAGTTATTTTTTATTATATGTGGAAAAACTCGTGAGAAGTTTTTTAAATGGATGGGTATATAACAAATAAAATTTTAAATATGTAAGGGCGATATCAAATTAAAACGGATTTCAAATATAACTAAATAAGTTAATTAATCAAAATTAAAATTGTCAAACAATAATTTATCTAAAAAATTTAAATAACAAATAAAATCTTCCCCCAACAAATGCCCATTTTTTTTAAGATGAAAAACTAAGTCATTTTGAGAAAGTTTAAAAATTTTAAAAAAATAATTATTTTGCAGAGATTTTTATAAAAAAAACATATATTATTTTATAGTTGGTTACCATGATAAAAATGAATATTAATTATTTTTTTAAATTTTATTATATATATTTTTTGAAAAATTCTTAAATAGATTGAGTATGTTATGTCATTTCTAGTCTGATTAATAAAAATATAATATTTAGATAACATTAAATATAAATAAATTTAATAATAATAATAATAATAATAATAAAGAAAGAAAATATAAAAAATTAAAAATGCATTATATCATAAGAATAAAATTAATTAAAATAATATCATACAAGATTTTATTTGGTGACTTAAGATATTCTATTTAAATGCACCACAAATAACATGTTATCCCAATCTACTTAAAATTTTTTCATATTTCTTGATTTCTTTTTATAAAAATAAATTATTATTGAATTATTTAAAATTTTATAATATTTTTGCGTATTTCATATTTTTAAAAACATTTTCTCTTATCTATCATATTAAATTATTTTTTAAAATTAATTAAAGTAAGTAGTTTCTTGAAATAATTAAAATTTTTTTAATTTTAATTATTTTTAAAACTTTAAGTATATATCAGAAAAACTCATCAATCTTTTTCAAAAACTAAATAATTTTTTTATAAATAAACTGAAGCAAATGAATACAAATTATTAAATTTTGAGTTGTGACTCTAACAAATTAAGGTTAAAATAAGATAAGATTTGCAGTTTTGTTCTTTTTCCAATTAATATATATATATATATTTATTTATATTATATTTATATGTCCGCACACACATCAAAAATCCCATCCCAATCCTAATAATAAATATCGGATTCGTTTGATCATTTGATCATAACGCCAACTTCGCGGCCTCGCAGTTGCAGAACAACACACCTGAAAAGGGAGGAATCATCCGCCCTCCTTAGAACGCCGTCGTTTCGGAGTGCCGTGGTGGGCCTTGCTGGAAAATAATCACAATATCGCAAAACTAGCCCTAAAAATAAAAACTTGGGAGACGGGTGATCGAAGAGGAAAAACTCCTTCGTAGCTCAACCGCCTGCTCCGCCTTCTCTCTCTTCTTTCCTTCCTGCGCTCCGACCCCTTTTCGGGGTTCGCTCTCACCTGCTTTCTCCTTCTCTCTTTATCCCTCTCTGAGATCCCGATCTCTTCCTTTGAGGTGCGTCTTCTTATTTGGTTGCGTTCGGTTTTCGATTCGTATTTGTCTTGATTGCATCGGGAGGTTTTTGATTTGATTTGTATTATTTACTCTCGTATTTGTGTTTTAATTTTTTGTTGTTCTTTCTGTCCAGTTGTTTGCGTGCGTTTTCTCGTCGTTTCATGCTCTTTAACTTTGGGTTTGTTTTGTTCTGAGTTGGTATGAGATCTTGTGTTTAGGTGAAGTTGTTAGTGCGTTGCGTTTGCTTTTGTCTTTTGTGAGTTACTTTAAAAACTGAAGTATGCAACTTAATTTTCTACATCTTGGTTTATTCAAGGGCATGTTAGGTACGTTCTTGAGTGTACAGGCATTTATACATCCAATACTACGTGCATAATTTGATGACTGTGGTATTGTAGGTTTCTATGTATTGCTCAGTGTAACAGGCAACAGCATTGCCTTTGTTTGCTAGTCCGTTGCATTTGCTTTTGTCATATCTGATATAATTTAAAAACTGAAGTATACAACTTTATTACCTCTTGGTTTTATCCAATGACATGTTAGGTAAACTCTTGAGTGTAAAGGCTTTTATGCACCCAACACTGTCTAGTATGTAGACGTTCATGATTTGGTGACTGTCGTATTGTAGGCAAGTGATATAAGCTGTATTGATGGAGTGCTTAGTGTAAATTGCCTTTGTTTACACCCTGAATCAATAGTTTATTATGGCATATAATATTATTTTGTGAAATATATAGTTTGTTTGGCATATTGTTGTATGTGCCTGTTGTGTCTTTTATCAGAGATGGCAGTAGCAGACGACGTCCCAACTCCACAGATGGTGGGCAATGCTTTTGTGGAGCAGTATTACTCTATTCTTCATCAACAACCACACCTTGTTTACAGGTTTTATCATGAGACTAGTGTCCTAAGCCGACCTGAAGAAGATGGTAAAATGAGCTTGGTGACCACGATTGATGTAAGCATGTTTCCTTGATTTAATGGTTAATGGGTTACTTCAATAAGTAGAATTTTGGGCAAGCATCTTTATTTAATTTTATGAAAAAAACAACATAATAATTAACTATAAAACAATAGTCCTATTGAGACAGATGCATTTTGATCGTGAATTTGATGAGAAAATTGAAGATAGAGAGCTTGATTTGCTTTATTTGAATCAAACTTACTACTGTTAATTTTTTTATAGTTTTTTTTTTTAATAAATGTTATAAGTATATTCATCTTTCCCTTTTTCTTTGGGAACTATTATCAATATCATTTTGTTTCTTAATTATGTGATTTGATATGCTTCATTCTAAGGAAATTAAATTTACAAGTAATGATACCTATCGCAAGCTTATCTCCTCTCTGATTATATGTTTCCAATTTCCCTCTTTTTGAAATCTTATTTGATGTCATGTGATAATTAACCTGATGTGATTACTGCAACATTAGAAGAGAAGAAAAGGTCATATCTTTGGTACTCTTTAAGTGAACTCACATATTTGGGGAGGATTTATGAATAGCTTGGAGCATGGATGATTATAATCCAAACTTCACTCAGGAATGTCATATAGGCTTTTATTGCTTTCTGTATGTTTCACTCTTCTGCACGACTGCTCTTTACTGGGTGAAAACAAACTGTTGATGTTTTTTAAATGAATTCATTCATCTCATTTTTCTGGTAGTTTTTGTTGTGCAATTTTGAGTTACTCAGAAGAATATAAGGATTTTATTGTCATTTACTATGATTTTACTTAATATTAATGCAGCATGGGGAAAATTAATTGCCTTTTAAACCTATCCTGCTTTTGTGTTCAATTCTCTTGTACAGCAACAAGTGTGTTCGTTTGTGGTGACTAAAATGATCTGCTTCATGTTGGACAGGACATTAACAAGAAGATCCTCTCTCTAGATTACACAAGCTTTAGGGTGGAGATTCTGAGTGCAGATGCTCAACCATCATATAAGGATGGGGTGATGGTTGTGGTGACTGGCTGTTTGACTGGAGATGATGATCTGAAAAGGAAGTTTACCCAGTCATTCTTCCTAGCCCCACAGGACAAAGGCTACTTTGTTCTGAATGATGTATTTAGGTATCTTGATGAGCACAAATCTGTTGACTCCCATTCTGTGCCTACAAATGATGCTGATGAAAGTGTTCCAGCAGCTTCTTTCACTCCAGAACCTGGTAATTCTTGTGTCCGTTGGTTTACATCAATGTGTCTGTTCCTGTCACTTGTCTGCTTTCTTAACTTGGCAAATGTTTTGGGCTTAAAATGTTGCTTGTAAATACAGAGCCTACTCATGTTCCTGAAAACATTGCACCTAGTCAGGCTGTTGTTGTCGACACTGAGGCTAATGCCAACGAAGAAGTGAATCAACAATTAGATAATGGGGAGTTATCAGTAACTGAAGAGGTTGTGGATCCTAATACTGTGAAGGAGTCAAGTCAGCAGGAAATTCACCCAGTCAATGAGAAAACTGCTTCTAACACTCAGGAGGATACTCCAAAGAAGTCCTTTGCGTCCATTGTGAGTCCTATTTTTTCACTTCTAATAATTTTATTAATTTATTTATTCTTGTGTCGTTACTGATGGTTTGTTATTATTCTGGGTTCCAGGTGAATGCTTTGAAAGATAATGCTGCTCCATTCCATGTAAGGATTTCACCAGCAAAACCTGTAGAACAACCACGTGTATCTAGCACTCCAGTTCCTGAAGTACCAGCTCCCAGCAGTAACCCTGCATCAGAAAAGAATAATGAAAATGCAGGTGTTGTATCCTTTCTGTGTCTTGTGTGTATAATCCGGAATTATTGTAAGTCTCATCTTGGTGATATCATAGTGTTTTTAACTCTGTAATTTACTTTTTATAGGCAAGGCTTATGCAATATTTGTAGCAAATTTGCCCATGAATGCAACAGTAGACCAACTTGAACGGGAATTCAAGAAATTTGGGCCCATTAAACCTGATGGGATTCAAGTTAGAAGCAATAAGGTTAATTTATGTCTATTAGATATGCTTTGGTGCAATTCAGTTTTTTGGATTCACTTGATGAATTGTGGTCTTTATAAATTGTCAAATTCTTCTCTCCAGCAACAGGGATCTTGTTTTGGTTTTGTGGAATTTGAATCGGCTAGTTCAATGCATAGCGCACTTGAGGTACTGACTTGTTATTATATGGACCATACTTTTTGAATGCTTGTGTCCCATTATTTGATGTGATTATTGTTATTATCATATGCTTTCCCTTTATCTAATGTGGCTACTTTGATTCTTAATACTCAATTTAGCCTTTGATGCTGAATTAATAATTAATATGATAATTGTTAGTTAATAATTGATATTCAAATTAAACTGCTTGGAAAATCTTTCTTGCGTCCTTTGGTGGTTTTATAGTTTTGTGCAAAATAAAGCAATGTTTCTAATTCTTGATGATCTCTGACTAATACAATTTTTTGTTGAGTTGAATAAAATGGATATTGGAGAACAAATTGCTTTTGGTATTTTGTTTTAATTTTTTTATTTTGGGGGGCATGTTTTGTGGTTAAGCTTTTGGTACTTGTTTACTTAATGATTGCCCCTAATACTCACGCGTGTACTGTATCAGGCTTCTCCTATCATATTGGACAATCGCAGACTTTCCATTGAAGAAAGGCGAGGCAAGTGAACGTACTCCTGTCAAAGTTGCTCTTGTTTTTAAGAAAAAATGGTGGTTTTTACTAACGATGCCGCCTAAATTCTGAGATTTTATTTCGATGCATTTAATATTGGTCTGCACAATCTTACCGACTTTTCACCTTTAAGCTCTCAATTCATTGAAATTGGGATTTTATTGCTTGAGGGATGAAGTCATGTAGATGCATTGTTATTGTGTGCATGTTTGTTCAGACGTAACGCCTGCTCAAGCTGATTTTGATTTCTTTATATGTAACTTTTTTTTTTTTTGTCTCCCTGGTGACAATGTTTCCTAACGTCTATATTTTGGTTCCTGCAGCTAATAATGATAGGGTGAAATATTCATCAGGACGGGGCGGATACCGAAATGATAGCTACAGGGGCCGGAGCAATTTTGGTGGTGGTCGTGGCTATGCTCGGAATGATGTTGAAAAGCGAGGCGAGTTCTCAGGTAGACCTCGAGGACGCAATGGAGAAACTGTGCCAAGGGCCTATCAAAACGGTGGTAGAGCTGCTGCACGTCAGGAAGTGAAAGTGCAATAGAGATAATAAAAGCACATCCTTCACAGAGCAAATTTTGAGTGATAGCTAAGAGTTTTTCTATAGGTAACGGCACATTGAATTGAGGATTTTGGCTGGATTAGAGAGTTAATTGTTTGATTTTAGCTTAGTCATGGTGATTCTACTGCTCATTTATATTTTTAAGCTACGAGAGTTTGGTCTACTAGACCCCACACTTGTCTCTTCCCAATTTTGCATTTTTGTATCAAATTTTCTGCAACTATTCTTTCGGAATTGGTCTAAATTTATTTGCTATTTTTCTGCATGTCTGCTATTTTGTGTTGGTTTTATTAGAAGTTTATAAAAGGCCAATGTCTGTAGATGTCGCATTTCTTGAGAAAAATCATCCCATTTTCTCGAGCCTGTTGATAGTGGTTAAGGCAAAGAAGGAAAAAGTGGATTGGACTGGCATTTTCCTTTTTACATTTATACAGTAGTGTAATTGAATTGGGTAAAAAACAAAAAAAGGAGAGTATTTTCATGTTTGCGTTTCCTTTTATACTTTTCTTTTTTGTTTATTTTCGATTGTGTGTTAAATAGAAGTGGGCTCTTTTCAATATAATCCAATGTCTGTGTATTAACTAGACTATCCAATCTGATTGATCCAATCAGGAATATGTCTAGTCCGGATTACTCCCAAAATTGGTATTGGTCAAAAAGTGAGGGCGTGGAGAATCCATCTTGGCAGAACTGAAGGAAAATGGGTCTTGACCTAAATAGATTTTTCTTTTTTTAAAAAAATTGAATAACTCAAAACTATTATTTTGTATTTGTATTTGTCTTTTGATTGATTTTTCTTTTGTACTATATATATTTGATGATTTATTGATAACTTTAGTTAATAATGGAAGCTTGAGTTGATTTGGTTGGACAATTAACCAGGCATGTTTGATGATTTTAGTGATTTATAAAGATAATAAATACATTTAATATAATGTTGGCATAAGCAACTATAAAATTAGCATGATATAAATATGAAAAAAAATATAACTTTGAATCTCTACACTTTGTTTGAGTTTTGTTATAGATTTCTGTGCTTTTTGTCAGTATTTTAAGTCTCTACATTTTTATTTTTTAATTTTTTATGTTCCTATAACACCACTCACGGAAGAACCTAAAACACTAAAAAACAAAAGTGTAGAGACCCAAAACACTGAAAAAAGTGCAGAAATCTACAGCAAAATTTGAGTAAAATATAAAGATCTAAAGTTATATTTTTCCTATAAATAAATATTGTCCAATTTTTTTTTCATACATATTATTTAAATTATATTAATTTAATTAAAATCGATTCGATCACAATTTAACTATAGTCTAATCATTAAATTTTGAACTAATATTTTGACAGATTTAGTAATTTATCTAATTCCAAAATCATTGATATGATCAAACAAGGGACGTACCCACAAAAATTTTGTCTATTGTCATGCAACACTTGCACACAAATTGAAGATATTAGAATAATAAAGACAAAAATAACAAACAGTCACGCAAAAGAGCAAAGAAGAAACTTGAATAAAAAGTAGATTATATGCTTTGAACAATGATGGTTCTGGGATGCTGCCATGAAAAGCTACATTTATTGGTTAATAATCAACATAGACTAGGTATCTTCACGGTGAATCGTGTTTTCAAAGTCTAAGTCTTGTCTTCTCCTTCCTTGGTTGGTTCATTATTAATGCTTAGTCATTTAATTCAACAATGGAGGCTATTCGATTCAACGCTCATGTGAGACGTTGTACGGAAAACCAATTTGATAGTAACTTAAAGTCTGATTTTTTTTTAAAAAAAAAATTGAGCTGATCTAATTTGATCTGATCTTGACATAACTTAAAATTAAATAGAATCGAATTGGTCCATTATGACTAGAAAACTAGTCACGACTTTATTTAGTATCTCATTTTATTTTATTTTTTAATTTTTGAGAGACAATAATTTATTTTAACATAATAAATTTAATTAATATAATAAAATTATTTATAATTATATAAAATTTATTACAAAAATAATTATAAATCTACAACAATCTTTAATAATAATAAAAATAATTTTAATTATAGCACAAAAAATTTAAATTAAATAATTTTTAATATGTTTAAAGTCTATTACATTACATCAAGTTAACTCCCCATTGACTTTCATTGTATTACGACGTCGTTTCTTCCTTTGCGGACAAAAATTCCCACTTTATTCCAACATGATATGACACGCAGTCGTTGGCGGGAAAAGAAAGGGAGAAAACAGGATCATGACACGTGTTATTAGTAATTTTATTAAATCTCTATTTAATGTGAGATTCAAATTCTATAAATGAAAAAACAAATTCAAAGGCCTACGCTCTCTAATCTAATTTATACGATACTTTTTATATTTTAAAATATAAGACATTTAAAAATATTTTATATTTTTTAACATATATTTTGATAATTTTTTTAATAAAAGAGTATCCTGCAAGCATAAAAAGTAATCCTTATTATAGGCTATTGAACAAAATTATTAAAACAAGCTTCCTATTTTACCTTTATTTAAAAAAATATTTTTCACATAACTAGATAACTTATCATTAAATACCAACCTGGAGTTTGATGAGTGGGGAATAACTTGCAAACAATATATCGAATGAGGGAATACAATATACTTTTAACGTTATTCCATGAAATAAATTTACTTTTTTCTAAAGACAATTTGATACATGGGGTGGGCGCCCCTTGTCCCCTTGCTGGTGACGGCAGGCATATATGGAGGTAAAGTTGAAAATTATTTATAATATAAGGGCTAAAATTAATTTTTACCTTTTTACATATAGTCTTTGCCTCTGGTTTTGTTTCTGTCTACTATTTTGATCTATATTTTAAAATAAAGGTATAATTAAAAAGTTAGGATGAAAGTTTAAAAAATAATATAATAATTTTTAAAAAAAAACACATGTAAGATGTTCAAACATCTTATAAATAGGATTGGAATAAGTAATTCAATACCCTGTTGAATCCTTTTTTGTAAAACAATTTGTTCTTTTGATTTTATTTATAAGAAACAAACACCTTGTTTAATGTATTTATTAAAAAATTTTAATGCATTCCTTAAAATGTAGGGTTAACAAAAGAATTACTAGCCAATTTTTTTATGTTATTATTGAATAAAAGATAAATGAACAAATTAACCTTTAAATTATAAGTTCAAAAGTATTTGAAACTTTAAATTCATCTTTTATTTAATATTTTCCTTCAACTTTTGAATTATCAATAAAATTTAATTTTGACCAAAAATTATGAAAAATTACCAAAAAAAAAACTCATGGCCATTTTTTTTATAATTTTTTGGGTCCTTTGCCATATATTTTTGGATTTTTTTATATTTTTATATTTTTTTATTTTTTTTAGTCAACTAACTATTAAAGTTAATTTTTATTAACGATAAGAGTTAAATTACACTATTTTCAATAATCGAAATCAAAATTACATAAAAAATGAGTTAAGAGTCATATACGTTTCTAAAACTATAATTTCAGAGTAAATTTACTTATTTATCCTTGAATAAATTAGAAGTACTTATTTTATTGAGTTATAATGAAGTAAGAATTTATTTTTAAGAAAATCATATCTAAGAATTTAAAAAGAAAGTTATTTATAAGTAAGAATTAATAACAAGTCGCATAAAAAACAATTCCTTATTTTTATTTTTAACAATAATTAATTTCGTATTAATTATTACATGTGAATAGTTATTTTTTTATGTCATTCCAAGTGATTCTCCTAATTTTTTTTTATATATAATATCAGTTGAATTCGTTACTTACTTACCCTAGGTTCTTATAACGTCTTTTCTAAGGGGTCATTATTGTCCGTAACTTCGAAAACAAATTCAAATTATTGACTTTGAACTAAATTTTTTTTTATTATGTATGAAGTGATTTAACTAAATTTTTTTTAAAAAAAATGTTTAAAGTGATTGAAAAGGCAACATGAGCATAGCCCGTATGGACACGAAAGAACGTGACAGGCACATCAAGTGACGTGACATGGCTGGCCAAAAGTGATCTTCCTAGTCTCCCACGTTTTTCTCTCAGGTCTCACCTTCTTAGTTGATGATTGATTCTTGTTTTGCCAACATCATTTTCTTGATTTATCCTGAAATTAAAATATTTATATTTTTATATCATTCAGAAAAACTCACAGACATAATCACATAATCATAAAATTATGTTGATGACATGACATGATCATCTCTGCAATATTTTTAGGTTATTATAATATTTCATATATTATTTATTTAGTAAAAATTTATCTAACTTGAACATTAAATTTTAGATTGTTAAATCTTAGCTACCATTAGTTTTCATACTTCTAGTAACAAAACAAATGTTCGTGTTGAACTTTTAAATATTGATAAAATATTTATAAATATTAATATATTAAATTTAATTTTTAAAAATAAATTTGATAAGCATGAAAAATGAAAATTCATCATTTGAGACTAATCATATTAAAATTAGAATACTCAAAAGATATTTTATGAAATTAAAAAATTAAACTAAAGCCTTATATGAAATGTGCATATGGACAAAAGTTAGATAATCAAATGTGCATATGGACAAAAGTGCCTAATTGGTTCTTTAATTTTGTAGGTTTCATTTCCTATATCCTTATTTTATAAAGTATTTTTTTAAATCTGTAACTTAATAAAGCAACTTTTATTAACAAAAAATGCTGATATTAAACTTGTAAACATTGATATGTTGAGTTTATTTTTTTAAAATAAAAATAGTTGATATAAATATTATCATTTGAAGGTAATGATATTAAAGTTCGCTAGTTAGAGGGTTAAAAATATAATTAATAAAATAAATAAATTGAATTTAAATATTATATCAACACCGCTTTCTCAATTTAGAGGACCAAGATTTACTTTTGCCTATATTATATATATATATACTGATTTCTCAATTCACATGAAAAAAATGAAATATAATACTAAAAAATTTAAATTTCTTACAAATATTTCAAAATGTTTAAATCTCATATTTAGTTAAAAAAATTTTAAGAAGAATTTTGCTAAAAAATTCAATCAACCTCCCTTGACCAATATAATTTCCATCAGCTCCTCAAAACTTTAAAATGTCTATACACATTTATGATATTTAAATGAAATTAAATAGATTACTCAAATGACCTTCATGTCTCTAATGAAGTTAGGCACATGAACAATTAATATAAAAAAAATAAAGTGATATATGAAAAGTGAATAATCAATGTAAATGAAATTTAT